ATGGTATTTATTTGAACAAATTCTGGGTATTGCGCCTCATGTGCTCTGACAAATCACAACGCCGACTTTGTCCAACCAACGACCTGTTCAGGTGGAGTGTTTCCTCCAAAGTGGTTGCTTGATGTTGTTGCTTTTTTGCACTGGAAGTTACTGGTTAGGCAATTTTTGAAGGGTTTTTCTATTGCGTTAGCGAGTTTTGGTTGAATATTACATTTCTTTATGAGTGAGGCCCCATTGGAGTCTGCTCATTTCTATTTTTTGCTTTCACGTTTGCGTCCGATACAATGTCGCACCTTGTCTTTCGTAGTGTTACTAAATTTCTGGTGATAGCGTCGTTCTAGAGTCGATCTTCCTCTTGGCTTTTAGGAGATGCAAATGATTTATGTAGTTTGTACGAATGTAAATTGATTCGATCATCGATGTTTGTTTTCCCGCAGCTTTGATTTCTGCTTATGGCGTCGGATTTTGCGGATCCGTCAACATTTTTAGCAGATACTGTGCCCATTGGGGGAGCGTCAGTGGTGCCGCATGGTTTCAATTCACAAGGCCGAGGCGTGTCTGATGCAGTGGATAACTCATCTGATTTTTATCTTACCGTGGAAATATCCGACGCCCTTAGCAATAAGGGCTTTGTTTCCTTCACAGTTCGTACGAAGGTTGGTCGTTAATGTCTGGGCTCATGCTTTGCCTACTGTTCCCTTACCTGTTTTGTCAAGCCTGCCTCTTATTTATAGACAAATTTGCCCGAATTTAAGCAGCAGAAGATGCAGGTGAATCGCATTCACGACGACTTTATTTGGCTTCATGACCAGCTGGAGGATAATGAGGCGTTTGCGGGTTTCATTGTGGGCTCTTCCGTTCTCACTGACTGCTTTATAGGTACCACCAGCTCCCCCGCGACCTGATTTCGACTCTTCAAGAGCGAAACTCCAACGTCTTGGCAAAAGTGAGGGGACCGTGACGAAACAGGATATGCAGAAGCTGAAAGCGGAGCTTGAGGCGTAAATCCAAGGACTAACACTTAACCTATTACAATTTAGTGAGTATCTTGCCAATTTCAAAAAAACCGTTGCAATGCATCAAGTCTTTCTTCAACGAATAGCAAACCACCCTGTTCTGCGGAACGACTATGGTTTTCGAGTTTTTTTGGAATACGAGCAAGAACTCAGCGTGCGCACCAAAAATGCCAAGGAAAAAGTAGGTGCCATGCTTTCTCCTTTTTATTGCTCTTCGCCTTGACCTTGTGTTTTCCTCTGCTTGTGCGTAGGCTGCAGGCTTTCTCAAGTCAGTTACGAAGACGGCGGACGAAAACTTGTTGTTGCCCAATCAGCGAGAGGATGATCCATTTTTCAGAGAGGAGAAGTCCTATCTTGTTCGTTACTACAATGCTGTGCATGAGGCTCACCAGTCGACCGATGCAGTCTGTCGAAACCGCCGTCTTTTGGGTGATAGCATCCTCCGTCTGGAACTTCTGCTGCAGGATCTTGCTACTACTCCACCCATCAACCTCAAGGCTGTTGAGGCTATGTACGCCGCCATTCTGCTCACTTATTTGTTGTCCATAGGTCCACTGACTCATTCTGTTTTTGCCTTTTTACAGGCTTACATCGAAATTATGTAATTTCTTCAGTTCGCTCTATGTAAGTTCACAGTGGTTTGACTGTCTTAAGGCAAATTTGGTATTGTGAATGGGTGGAAGAAATTTGAGGCGTAGGAGCTAGCAATGCATTGTCAGTTGCAGCATGCAGCCTTGCTCACTTCGACAGCAACACAGCCAAGAGTAATGCACTTTTGGTACACACTGAATTGGTAATTTGCGTCCTCATTCACCTCCCCCTCGAATTGTTCGTCTGCATTGGTTGCGTGAGTGAATTGTTAGGTGTGCTTGCATTAGTTTGATTTGGAGTTCCTCGTCGGATGAATGGAAATGTGATTGATGGTGAATTCTTAACTGTGTCTCTGACAGCCGCTGCAGATGCGCGTGACAGCTGATGAGGATTTGAAGTTGGTCGACACTCTGGCCTACTACAGTGCAGAGTCGGCAGCGGCAAAGGATCTGCTTTATCGACGGAGTCGGGCACTAGCAGACTACGCATCGGCAAATCGGGCATTGGACCGTGCGCGAGCTAAACAGCGCGACATCGGTGCCGCAGACACACAGCAGGTCGCCGCGCACAAACGCTTCACTGAAATCTCGCAAATGGCACGTCGTGGTAAGTTGTCTAATTTCAGTTCACTTGTCATCTCCTTA